TTCAAAGAAGGTGTTACTGAGCTCACAGCTTAAGCAATGGCCAGTGGATTGTATAATACCCCGTTCGCACATGTAGCCAAAAAGTCATCTACGGAGTACTCTCACGGTACCCGGCCAGCAGAGCTACAAGAGAGTTTCATGGAAGTTACAAGAGCTACCCGTCACTGTATATACTCTTTTATGAACGCCAAACCAGAGTCATGCGAGGTAATTAAAGTTGGGGAAAATAAGGATATTGACAAGAAGGTCAATACGTACCTAACGCATTACAAGAGCATGACGAGGAAAAATGTAAGTGATTAAAATCACTGTTTTGATTTGGGTTTCTATTTGCCTACTTATCTTAGGTATGCATTTGTCTTACCTATGTCTATTTTCGAAAATGAAATACATTTGTCATTTATAAGCCGACTCTTCTAGGACCTCAGAAAACAAAGGTATGTGGCCCGATTTAGCAGAAGATGCTGGGAACTTTTACTAGATATCGAACGTGGAGCCATCTCCGGCTCTTCGACCTCCGCATCCTCTTCTTCAATTAATACATACTTCTTCAAATGGCTTAATGCCTCTACGCTAGAGGAGGAAATTTACAACAATCTCCTGGCCCTACAAGCTGGGTAAGTTCTTGTCAAGAATCTCAACAGGAAAAGGAAGGTAGGCTATATGCATTACTTTTGTTATTGTTGTTGTTGTTGTTTACGAAGTTGTTATAATTGCAATTTCTATGTGGAGGCTGAAGATAGTGAAGAGGACGTTGAATTTGCTTCGGACCACATGCATTGCGAGGAGCAAAAAAAACTGCTGGTAAGCGCTAAAAGCTGTACTTTAAACCAACATGTTACCCCTACAGAAAAATCATTGCACTTTAGTATAAGTAATCCTATTTTAGCAGCAATGTATATCACTTTCCCAACAGGAAGGACAAGTAGAGGAACTTGGTAAAAAGCTTAAAAGTGAAAAGGATACCAACAGCGAAATCGCCAAAGTGGTGGGTGACTACTAAGTTAGTTGTCAATTAAATAATAGACAGGGGCACCCTATGCCAATTTTTGGAAAATATCTGTTCAGAAGACGATTTGAGATCTAGAATTTTCGAAACATTTGTTGTAAAATTTCTCTCTTGCCTGCCTCTCCTTGCATTTTCGAACATCTAAGAAATGGTATAATTGCCCATTTTTAACGGATTTTTACCCTAAAAAGGTCACCTAGAATTTTCGGGAGCCTTTTTTCGGGCTGAAATTATCGAAAAGGTAAGTTTTGATTCGTACAATTTTCGGATCACTAGACTTTCACCTAGGAAATCCGAACACATGAAAAGTTTTTAGGGGACAAAAATATGCCTAAATCTACCGTTTAAATACTAAAATATGATCAACAATGCATGTTTAAGTGATTTTGAACTATATTCTCGTTGTGTGCCCCTGAATAGAGAAAGACATAACTGCCTACATGATACACGGAATCGGCTCGCAAAATAGCTATTTGTGTTGGAGATTCACAATGTCGTCACAAAACTTAAAAGCACCGTGCGAATTGACAACGGGTCGCGAGTGAATCGAAATACTTACTCTGCGTCTTATCAAACTTTTGGCGTCTAAATGTAATTCTTCTTTTTTTAATTTACTTTATAGCACAAACAGCGTATAGAAAAATTGTTAAGTGATGTCAAGCGTTTGGAAAAAGAGGTTACAAATGAAAGAGCGACGGTGGGAAGGTTGCAGACTACCTTGAGGGATGTAAGATACAATTCTACCATATAATCAGAACGATGCTTATTCGACTTATTCTATGTAACATCATGTACATGTACACTTCAGCAAATTAGTATTTTATTTTTTTAAACAAAAAGCGATATATTATAGCGTATTTCAGAAATACAGTCACTTAAGATGGACATGGAGGAGCAACTCCAACGGAAAGATGAACAAATTCTATCGTTATCGAAGGTAAGGCTGAATAGGATTTTCTCCTTTTTAGTTGTATGTAGTTTATAGCTCTTGGTTTAGGTTTATTATTCTTTACCACAACTAAGACGAATTATTTGAACTCAACTAATTCAGGATAATGAAGCGCTCAAGGAAGAATTGTCTAATTTGAAAATTCAGTTCATTCAAAAGGATATTTCAGTAGAGGAGGTAACTATATACATGTACGTATATTCTACAGTCAGTGCAATCAACACGCTACACTTTCATAAGTGCTTGTTCTAAACAATCGTACCATTTATACGTCCCCTATTAATGGCCCATTTCGCACCTTGTCTGTATAAAAGGTACAGTCCACATCTTTTTTTTGAACGCGACTTATGTAGTACGGGTCTTACTTATCCGTGTAAAAATGGATTGTCTGATCCAAAAAAGAGACTAAAAAATTAAGCGAGTTATTCCCTTGGGTTTTCTAGGTTCCGATAACTTTGATGCACAATGAAGTCATCACCAGGTTTCAAAATATTTCTGGCAAGTTTAATACTTATCAACTATCTTCATGGGTGTTTGTAGGACGATGTTGACATTAAAGACCAATCGCATGTGGTAGAAGACCATGGCGAAAACTGCACCGTGAGTTCCTTTATTCATCAATTTTCGGTATCCTTACGATACCTGTAAACGGATGAATGTTAGCGTCTACTTTAATGTTACTTAAATTCGCGGGTCTAATTGATTTTACGTTTGTCGCGATTGCGAAAGAATCCCCAAATTTAACACTGGGAGTAATAATCCTCACGAAATGCAATATCAATTTACGGAACAAAAAAAGACCAACATGTGAAAACACAACATTACGATACGTATCGACAAAAACACAAATTAGTAACACGCTTTACTGGTAAGTTTCATTTTGTATCTTCGGATTTAAAATGACGTTAATACACTTAAAAGTTAATTTCTATATTTTATTATGAGTGTTGATTCATGGTTCCTGTTTATGTAGAAACTGAAAAAAAAAATTCAAGCTGCCTAACCCTGCGAAATTTGTCTCGCCAAAATAGCAAAATTAACTCCCACAAAATTAAGTACCAAATGAATAAAGAAGATAAGCGATTTCAGCCACGGTCAACATGACTCCAGTTTGAAAGCTGTATGAAGACCATAACGAGGTATGTAATGTTTGCTCAGGTCATGAGGTGTTACAGGAATAGATGTTCGCTGCTCATTTTGGTTATTGTTATTAAGTTTGTCCTTCTTATGATAACTTCAGGCTAGAAAAGAAAAGGTGAAGGCAACGGAGAAAAAAGAACTCGCCCAAAGTGCAACAGCAGTTACAAGAAATGTTGAGGTGAATTGCATATTTACAAGGGCATTAGAATAATTTGAACACACGTCTGAAAGAAAAAGTCATGCGCCTGTTATTTAACCCTCTGTTAAACTTTATTAGGTTGCCGACGGTGTCACCTTGCTTATGGAGACCGAAATTTGCAATGTCTTCCCTATTGAAATAATTGAAATAAAAAAGGTAAAGTAAGGAAGTTACAAAAAATACATGTATTCAAAGAAAAAGGAAATTTGTAGGAGTCAAAGATGCCTTTTTGCAAATTAGGCTTGATCAACAGACAGCTTTGTATTCAACCTTAATTACAGGATGATGGAGAAAGGCTGAAGCCAGAGGAAGCTCCTTTTGAAGGAAGTGACCTTTCGGATGATATGGACCAATCAATGGACAATGAGCCCCTGGACTCCCCCGCTGCTGTCGTTGTTTGGCAGGTAAGAAAAGTGCATAATATAATGTAAAGTTAATGTCGCACAACATCTTTTCAAAATTGTTCTTTGATCTTTGATTATCTTACATTGATATCTTCCAGACTGAGGAAAACCCAGAGAAAGAGACTTCCATTTCCATCGAGGTAATCGAGGAATTGTATTGAATATAGAACAATAGCTGGCTTAGACATACACTTTATCAAGCCGAAGGGACTGTTTTCTTTCAGGGAGACGCGAAGAGAGGAACAGAGGCAGATGAACCTTCGGCCGGGCAGACTATGTCGATGGTACGGCATTTTTCAGTGTGGTGTTTTTAAGCACGAACATATATAGCCATCAAGAGCCGTAAAAAATGTGTCTCGTGAAAAACTAGTCTGTCATGTGAAGGTGGAGATTATTAGCGTAAGTAAACCGCTCCCTTGCTTCTGTAATTGTACAGACCACTAACACGGATCTTTGTCTTAAAAAAGATGCATTGCCCAACGTTCCAATCCTATTGCTTGGTGTGATGAGATCGCAGCATTTTCTTTTTTGTATACTCGAATTATAGAAATCGTTTCATCGTTGACACTCAGTATCTGGGGAGAATATGTTAAATACAGTAGAAAAATAACAGTTTTATTAAAAATACATTCCTATGTAAACTTTGCAGGATAAGGAAAAAAAGGAACCGGCATTTTTGTCAGGAGAAGAAGAAAAACGAGCGGAACTAAAGGTGACTCTAGTCAAATTACTTACAACTAATTGCTTGCATAGTGTGAAGAGATTTACGGGATTTTTGTACATCTTCAGTGATCGTTTTTCCGCGTATTTGAGGCGAATAAAGGCACTCGAAGCATTTCATCGGGAGACAAAAATTAAAGCTTGTAACAAAAGGCGTGTAGGAACTTTACAGGACTAGTGACAGCAAAAGAGATGGGAGCTTAACGCCAGCAGAAAAGGAAAAAAGTGGAAATTAAAAAGGTTAATCTGCACAAATTCCTTACTTCTACCATTGTATGTTGACTGGCTAATTATATAATATATTAGGGAGGCTGTTACTCGTGTGTGCAAATTAAATACTGTTGAGAGAGATCTGGTGTTAAGCAACAACCGATTTGATAAATATTTCTTTCCTTTCTTTCATTTCCTTACTTCTACCATTGTATGTTGACTGGCTAATTATATAATATATTAGGGAGGCTGTTACTCGTGTGTGCAAATTAAATACTGTTGAGGGAGATCTGGTGTTAAGCAACAACCGATTTGATAAATATTTCTTTCCTTTCTTTCATCTATTCATGTACTACGTAACAGACACCAGAGGAGTGGGTAGCTGTTAGTTATGGCAGAGACCTGCGGTACATTGGCCGGGTGGTGAAAGAAGATAAACGGGCCATCAGGATACAATTTTTAGAGAAAAAGGCGGATGGTTACTTTCAACTAAAAAAAAGAGACGAGGAAACGGAAAAAGACATCGTTTTTATGCGTAACGTGGATGTGCAATGGAAAGGGATCGGTCGCTACGAGGTTCTTCGCGAAAAAGAGATAAGGAAAAAGCATGAGGAGTTTTGGAAGACACTCCGTTTGAAAAAGAAGGTAGTGATCCATCCTATTTTCTCAGCTAATCACTTTATTTATTTATTTTCTCAATCTGTTTGGTAGATTAGGCCAAGGCATACAAAGCAGAGAAAAAGTATGGCGAGACTTACAAAGATATTTTACTTTAAATTATTTTATTTTGAAATGGTTACCAGGTAGAATCCTACTGGAACATAAACGCGCACTCCGACCTTTCTGAAGTGGTGTGCCGAGTTGGCGTAGACGAAATCCTTGTTGGCGACTTTAAAACAATCCAACCATCGATGAGTGCAGAAGAGATCGAGATGATGGAAAAGTTTTCTCTCCGCTTCAGGGAAGTTGGTTGGCTTAACGACAAGGTACGGTTTTTAAGTATTTTATCTCAATTGCGGGCATAAGAAAAAGAGAAATGTTTTGGTGGGTAATTATTAACTATTTTTGGTTACGTTAGAGGGCAAAATTTGGTTCGGAATTGACTCACTATATGCTTTATTTTACTAAAATTAAAAAAAATCTGTTTCTATCTTCTTGACAAAACTAGATAGTAAATGCAAGCCTAAAGCTGTTGGAGGTTTCTAGTAGGAAGATGGTAAGTCAAGAGAAACACTGTACTATGCGTGGCACCTGCTTTAGGGAACAGAGGGAGAGGGTATAACAGAAGAAGGTTAGTTGTAGCTCGCGCTTCGCGTCGGAGAGTACCGCTTCCTCCTTAAGCTTCTGCCACTAAAGATATCTGCCCATAATTTTTCATCATTTTGCACTTGTTAGTTTTACTGAAAGTAAATCTGAGAAAAGTTAACGTGTTGTTAACCATCTTTTAACCAGGGTATAAAAGTCTTTGCCGCGGAATCTTTCGTAATAGAAAAAATAAGGACATCAGAAGAGCTCTCTCAGTTGAAGTCATGGAAGTGGATGAAAAAGGTAGGTTGAAAGTGAAAAATGATTTCTGGGAAGAAACTAATAGTTTGGCCTTTTCACACTCTTACCACTATTAGTTCATGAAACATAGGGCTAACAGTTTCTTGCGCAAAATATAGTAAATAACTGACTATACCCCTCTTTTTCAGATTGACTTTTCAAATCAAGACTTGGTTTTACTACCTATGTGCCATGCCAGTCATTGGACGCTTGGGGTATGACTTCTTTTATCTCTTTACAAGACGGTACCACTGAATAATACGCAAGTACCTAGTATGTAATTGGCCCCTATTTTGTGAAGGTGAAACCTTTCTTGGACGAGAACAGGAGCCCATAACTCCATGGGCCCCTGACAAGAATCAATAAAAGGAACTACATCAACAACAGTTTCTCGCCCGCTCCGCCTACTCTTTATAAAGTACAAAGCAAAACGATAATTCTGATATTTCCCGGGAAAGAGTACATTTGTTCACAAATGTTTCTTTATATTTTACTTCTATAAAGGTTGTTAACGTAAAACAAAAAGAGCTTCTTCACTACGACAGCAAGTCGGAAAAACAAGGAAAGTCGACGACGAGTGGAGAGCTTTTTTTCAACTGCATGAGGTATAAACTGCGTTTATAATAGCCCCCCACCGCAGAAGTGTGTTGTTTTTATTATTTTCTATTTTTTTGAAGGAATGCATACGATTTTTTTTGTGTGCGTGTTAAACTTTCACAGGAAAATAATGGCGGCAAATAATATGGACGTGCCCTCTTGGAAAAACATCTCGCCCACAACGCCGCAACAGTGTGACTGGCAAAGTTGTGGAGTTTATGTCATAAAGGTGGGCTCAAACACCAATTGTTTCTCAGTTTCTAAGCGAGAAAGTAATAGCGAGCACAGTTTTGTTTGGCTTCTTCTTGTAGGTGGCTGAATTCGTCGTAGAGGAAAAGAAGCCCTTCATTTCACAGGTAGAATATCATTAAAACTTGTATTACATTATAATACGGTTTTCCAAATCTTTAGCGGCCATAAAAAATAACATCTTGTCTTGTTATTATTTAATCTTCTTTAAATCTCAACTAAGTGTACATTTGGGGTAAATCTCAGGCACAAACATCAAAAATGGATATTTATTGTTGCTACACAATTTCTGGTATGTTCAGGAGGTTTTGTAAAAAGTGTCGTTCATCCTATTACGCTTATTACTAAGTGCTGTCGTAGAAAATAAAGAATTGGAGCCAGTTGTTGTAGAACCTGTGAAGATCTAAAATTTGCATGCGGTTTTAAGCTTAAGACAACTTCTGCTAAAAACAATTCAAGTTTTCCACTTAGCGTAATTCCAAGTCACATTTGTTTTTGTTTTTTCTCTCCTGCTCAGGATGAAGTCAACAATTTGCGTCTACAAATAGCTCTCAACTTGTTGAAGAATTCGCGTTGAGTTCATTCACTAAAAATTAAATTAAGGGAATCTGTATCTGTATCTATAGAAATGAACAGTCACATGTAGAAATGTCTTGGGTATTGAATACAAGTTATTAAGTATAAATCGTTGAAGTCCGGGGCTAAAACGAAAGTAATTGTTTATTGCTGCTCTGACTCATATAGCCTCGTATATTTGTCTCAATCATTTGCATAGAAAACCAACTTGCCATTCAATATGCATCTTGCTTTAGAACAATCAAATGTCTTAAAAACCATGGTAAGCATATATCTTATCTGAGTCACCTACAGGCGTTATTACGCACGCACTGGCGGGAATAAATTGACGAACTTCTTTATTTCCTCTGTTCATTCACGTTCAAATGTTAACTCAAAATATAAACACATAAGGAAAAGTTGTCCAGTCAGTAACTGCTTGAGAAAGTAAACGCCGCCACCGTTCTGGTTACATTTTTGTGAAGCGAATACTCGTTAAGAAATGGCTACGCGTGAACGCGAGACGGGAGAGACACGAAAGAATGAGCCAGAACCACGTCAGTTTGCGATAAAATTGCTTTCCTTGACTCGCTTACATTTTCTCTCGTCGCAGACGAAGATGATTCACGGGTACAAGAAACATGCCAAATAAACTCTTTCAATCAGTATTGAAAAAGTAATTTTAAGAAGAAAAGACGAGAAATACTTCATAATTATGATAAATGAGACTCAAATGACGCCCAGAGATACATGTACATGATACTGTCGATACAGTTTATGATCAAGGTGACAATAATCTGAAACTTGATCAACGGTCATCAAGGGTCAATTCACCTTGTCGATATAACCCGAAGTCTTCAGTTTTAGTTAAACGCGAACAAAATAATCACCTGACCTGGGCTTGACGCGAAGCCCACCAGTGCACGACTTAACCTTTATACTGATATTGTAATTTGCTGATTTGCTACGACTACAACGTTACTATGAGTCAAGACAGCAACGAAAGGACTTTGCCGCCAAAAGGGCGCGAAAATCATTCACGAGGTTACTGACCTAAAGAAGCTACAAAAGTTGCTAGACACCGAAAATGGTAGCTGTGGATTCCTTTCACTGTTTACTCGTTAAGGATACAGAGTAAGATGGCCTTACATTAACAATGGTTACTACTGCAAACGGCAACCTGTGCCGATGAAGTGCCGACCGCAAAAGGTAGGAATGTTTTACGTTTTGTGTTAACCCAGTGCAATAAGGTGCACACGTTGCTCATCAGGGCGACTAACAGCCAACTTATAATTACTACAGTTTGCCTTAATTGTGTCTCCTTTAGTCAGCTACTGATGTTGGCCTCACTACTGAGATTTCGTTGATTTCGTAGAGAGGCAGGTCTTTACCACCACTTGAATTTTATAAATAGAAGTCAGAGGAGTAAGAGTATTTGTAGTAGGTTTAAAAAGTAAGCTTAAGAAGAAGATTGTAGCTTTCCAAAATCCTGAATTCAAGATTTTGGCTGACTTCAACATTTTAGCTTTCCAAAATCCTGCATTCAAGATTTTCGGGGACCTGAAGATTTTAGCTTTCCAAAATCCTGAAGCAATAATGAGGCTGAAAATCCACGAAAGTTGTTAGAGCTGTGGCGATGGAAAACGTGAGCAGATTGGATTCTTCGGAAACCACAATGGAGATGATTGAGATAGTTCCGAGGACAAACTCGTTCTCATTCGCTACCGGGCGGGATGATTCCGCTATTTTTATGATTATTTATCATCACATGATGAAATTAGAAATTTTACTATCCGGCTGTCAATGAAACAAAAATGCATATCAGAACGCCGGACACACTCTTATCGATCTGTTTCGCTTTAGAAAAATATCGTTGAGCGGACAATAATCTCAACGCGGGGAATCTATCACAAGCCTGAAGCAAAACTGAATCACGTCAGTACTAAGAGCAATTCCAGTCCGCGTAAATTTTGAACGCTGTTAAGTATCAGCACTTTTAATGGGTAACGCTTCAGTTTTGAAAAGGAGAAATTTTTTTATTACCCGTTTTCCAATGTTGTATAGTCCGGGTTAGTGATGTTTGAAAGATCACTTGTCCCTTAGACATTTTCATGTCGCGTCATGAAGAGGTTCTGATTTGTTTATATGTGAAATATTCCGCTACTTAGAATTTTAAAATAGCGATGATGTATAATGATTGAAATTTGAGCCCCCTTCTTGTTTGCTATAAAGTTAGGATGCAACAAGACTCGCCAAAAGGCGATTTTCTGGGCGGCCAATTTTCCTGAAGGAGGGGTTGAATGCACACTTCGGCCATGAGGCATGTCGCTTACCATTGCGTGACGTAGCATCTCATGTGGGAGTTAAACAGTTACTCCATTGAACATTATACCCTTTTGGAAGACTTTCGTGACAAGAAAAAAGAGTACTATTATTAAGCACCAAATACCCTCGCCATTGTCATACAGAAATAGAAGTAACACATTTACTGGAACATTGGTCTACCATCTACAGAATAGAAAATAAGTAAAATTCTAGCCTTTGTCACACTTCAATGACCATACTATTCTCTTACACTGATTGGCTCATATGCGAGATATCCCAACATTCCAAAATATCACGTCTTTGTCTTAGGCCATGTGGCATGTCGCTTACCATTGCGTGACGTAACATCTCATGTGGGAGTTAAACAGTTACATTATACCCTTTTGGAGGACTTTCGTGACAAGAAAAAAGAGTACTATTATTAAGTGCCTTTTCAAATTCCACCAATATGAATAAAAAATAAACAAGTGAGCCATTCTAAGCAGACAATAAGGGTTATTTTCACGCACATCTCCCCCCAATCCCGCTGCTCCCCGAAATATAGTGCGACTAATTTGACCTAACCGTTACGGGTCAAAACGCTGTTAATAAGAAGCAGTATATTTCTCAATTCTGGTTCTTAAAACTAACAAAGCGATTTAAATTTAAGTTTTGTTTTTGTCTGAAATTGCGTTATAAAGCCTTTGTAACTATCCTAGTAAATATATATAATATATTTTTTTTACATGGTGATCTACAATGAGCACATTCCCCAGGACATTCCTTTGTCCGTTTATTCCCGGGGGAGGAACTCTCTTACATTAACCCTACAGATACTGCTCTGAAATAGTGCAAAGATTAGATGAGGCGGACGGTGAAACCCCACTCCGACTTCCCAGAAATACCCCCCCCCCCCCGAGAAAAAATGAAACGTCGAAGATAAACTGGACGGAAAAGATGTGTGTTCCCAGGTATTTGAGCTTTCAAAGGAATAAACCCAGGCTTTCTTTGTGCAACTGCATCAATTGCGTATTTAACTGTCATGATCTTCTGTGCTTTTAGTTCTTCATCCCCAATTTAAATAAATATATAACATTCATATATTCATCATTTCAGTAGCGAAGTTTCATTGAAACTGGAGAAAAGACACTCCTTCAACTGATACTCAACGGTGGTCGGATTAAGAATAGTTTTTTTGCACTTATCTTGAAATATTACCAAATCGATTTTTGACTTTTTCTTTTGCGTCTAAGAATTCTGTTATTCTCTCACGTCTTCTGGCTTCGTATCCGAGCGCCTGTGAGGAAATTAGTCGGCCGACAAGCTATCAAAATGCTGAGTAACAACAAAACCCTTCTCGCATAACCAAACTGACGGATTTTGTGTTAAGTTTATGTGAACGATGACAGTATGTGTTTATCTTCATTGTGTAAATGACCTTGTAACCTGATAGTAGATGTCTTATCTTTTATTTATTTTAAGATCGGAAACGGTGTGAAGTTACTGGTATGATAAGAGAATCACTGATTGGCTCATATGCGAGATATCCCAACATTCCAAAATATCACGTATCTTTGTCCCCATTTGATTGGTTTAGATGCGGGATGATCCCACACACTTAATAGCACTTACAATAGATCGTTCTGATTGGATTATCAGTGAAATATCCCGAGAAAAAAGGCCTTACTCTCCAGAACTGTTTAATATAATAAGAGCAATGTGATCAAACATTTTAAATTAAAAGTAAAAGAGAAATAGTGAAGAATTACAACTTCTAATCACATCTTTGCTTATATTTTATAATAAAATATTCTCGAAACTGAGAATGGTTTGATCTGAGCTGCTTTAAAATCGAACTGAATCACTGCATGAAACTTTTTGTTTTGTGTTCTTATCTATGTATGCAATATGTTTGAAATTATCCATTATGAATCTGTTTTTTAAACAAGTAGTCTAGGAGGGATGAAATTAACCCCTTTTTTGCGCAGGAATCTCATTAGCGTGCGCAGGAATACATTAACTAGGTGACGTCATAACCTTTTGTCTTGATCTCATGAATAAAATGCGCAGGAATCTC